AACTGAAAAAGAAAAAGATAAAAAACCCAACTGAAAAAATGGGCAAAGGACTTGAATAGATATTTCTCTGAAAAAGGTGTACAAATCATAAACAAGCACACGGAAAGACACCAGTAGTCGTTAGGGATGTGCTAATCAGAGCAATAGTGACACTTCACGTCACCCCTACTAGGATGGATGTAACAATAATAATTTTAAAAACTGTAAAATAACAACCGTTGGTGATGTGGAGAAACTGGAACCCCTGCACATTGCTGGTGGAAATGTGAACGGTGCAGCCACTGTGGAAAACAGTTTGGCTGTTCCTCTAAAAGTTAAACACAGAATTACTATGTAACTCAGCAATTCCACTCCTAGGTATATACCCAAAGAACTGAAAGCAGATACGCAAACCAACACTTGCACACCAGTGTTCATAGATGTGCTATTCACGATAACCAGAAGGTGAAAACAACCCAAGTGTCTATCAGCAGACGAATGGGTGAACACGTGTGGCACATCCATATAGTGAAATATTACCCAGACAGAAAAAGGAAAGAAGTACCAACACGTACAACGACATGGATGAATCTCAGAAACATTGTGCCAAGAGAAAGGGGCCAGACACAAAAGGTCATAATATTGTATGATTCCATTTATATTAAATATCCAGGGCCTGGGGGGAGGGCAGAACTGGGAGTGACTTCTTGATCGGTATGGGGTTTTCTTTTGGGATGATGAAAAAGGTTTAGGACCAGATAAAGTTGGTGGTTGCAGAATGTTGTTAAAATAGTTAATTGTATGTTACATGGATTTCATCCCAAAAAATAAAAAACCAATGGTTCATTCTTGTCTACAAAATATAATTAAAACTAAACTCTTCAGCAGTCAAAGTCGCAGCGGGCCTTTAACTACTTTCTGTAACCTGATCTTTTAGCACTCTCGTATTTGATTCTTACTCTCTATCGCTGCATGGAGTCCCTTTGGTACCAACGTGTGAAGTGTGCTTCTGCCTTCCTTTCAAGTTCACCCACATGCAGTGGGACATCTCCACCAGCTCCTCCAGCCCACGGTCCTCTCTGTCTCTTATACCTCTTACCTTTACATCCTTGCCTTCAAAATGTAGTACTTGGATTGGCAGCATTGGTGTCACCTGGGAGCTCATAAGACAGGCAGAATCCGGAGCCCCCATCCCGACCCACTAAGTCCGAATCTGTATTTGAGCAAGTTCCTCTGATGATTCAGGTGCACAGGAAAGTCTGAGCAACACTGGTTCACACAACTGGGCGTCAAATCAGATTGAATCACTTTGCATACTGTATTTATTTATAATATATATTTTAAGTTATACACATGGTAAAATTACAAACTGTGTATTTTGTAAGCAAAGAAGAAAAAAGAGCATTGCTCACCACCCAGTTCTTCAAGGAGCAAGCCCTAACCTGCTTCAGTCTTTGACAGTTCACTCTGAGAGGGAATTAAGACAACAGGACAAAGCATCCTATGCTTTGGACAGACAGGCCCCTTAGATAGATGTGTATCTGGGGAAGAATTTTAATGAAGCCAGATTCTTGCATCTTCCCACAGGAAAACACTAAAATCATTAACTTGAGATATTTGTTCTTTGAGACTAGCAGAAATCTTTTAGCAAGATGTGTACTTGACCTCACGCGTTCCCTAGCCCCAAATCAACATATTTACTGGATTTTTCCCTACCTCTTTGGAGCAGCTTCCTCAGAGCTACTGCAAGGCTGTCTTCTGGGTGATGGTTCTCGGTAAGACCCTGAACAAAACTTAAACTCACAACTCTTATGTTGGGTGCTTTCCTTCAAGTCGACAATATTTTAATAAAAGTGTGAAGAAAGTTAGTCTTCAACCTCAGTTGCTCAGATTTCTACCCAAGAGGCAATCTTTGTTAAAGTGTCTTGAGTATTTTTCCCTGTTTTATGCACATGCGAGCACAGACGTATGTGTAGATTTCCCTTCCTCGTTTTGTTTTTACACAAATGGTGGCATTTATGAACCAATTTGCAATGTTCACTCAACAGTGTATTTTGGAGATCATTTCAGCACATGCAGATCTGCTCAATATTCTTTTTAATGACTGCATGGTAGTCATCCCATAGTTTCATTGTTGTGATATATGTGTGTAATTTCTTTACATTACAGCTCTTAAAGGACACCATGTTGTCCACGGCCAAGCTTTGGTGCCCATCCTTTGAGGGTATCTCTGAGCATGTGATGCACCAGTGTATCTGTAGGATGAAAGAATTGTTGAAAGATATGCGCATTTTAAAATTGTGAGAGGCAATATCAAAATCCCCTCTAAATGCAGCATCAATTTACCTTCTTGGGAAGCTTTAAAAAGACACAAAATTCCAGGCAACCTTTTACGTTAACTCGTGAGCAACTCTGTGGGTGGGGTCCAGAACCCGTATTTTATGTCTCTGGTGATTCTGGTACAAGAAGTCTGTGGGAAGGAAAGGGAACCAGGGGGCTGACCGACCCCCATGCTGTGGTTCTTCTCGAGTTGCCTTGAATTGCTTTTATCTTTTGATGTAAAAGTTCGATCTCCTCACCAAGGATGGGTTCCTGAGGACGCGCCTCAGGGTTGCTGCTTCTGTAATTCTAACCCTAACACAGTGCTTCGTATGACGTTGCTGGTCAATGATGAGGCTTCAAAGAGCATTTATGGCTCCTTTAATGATTTTGTTTTAACTTTTTTTTTCTTTCTAGTTCCTTGGACCAAACACAGAGAAGAATGCTGGGCCAGCCCCTTTCCATCCCCACTGCCCAGCCCAAGAAGAAAAGGACGCCAATGATGTCTTTCTTCTCCAAGGTCTGAGACACACTGTCAGGAACAAATGGCTATATGCTTGCTGGTCTGCCTTAGTTCTGCTGTCTCTACTGAGTTCCTTCTTCTGAAAAAAAATTTATGACAGTTCTTTGAATACAGACACAATGTCTGGAAGATAACAAGAAGATGGGTTGGGAAGAATGTAGCTTGCTGTGAACTTAATAATAAAATATAGAATGAACTGTAGTTAATACTCAAAAACAGTGATGAGACCTGGTCATCACCCAAACACCAGACAGGGCTGTGGGTCTAGCCTGCAGCTCCGCCCACTCCCAGGGATGGCGATGACGTGGTTTTTTCCTTCACTCTTGTCTGGATCTTGGTTCTGACTCCAGCACCTGTTGCCCTGTTCTGTGATGTGCAGAACACGGGGATTCATATGCTCTAACAACCCATCTCATGCCCTGCAGTTAATTAAAGCTTAGTCTCAGAAGTACATATTTCTGCATCAGCTACACAGGCTTCCCAGTTTGCATTATTTGTGCATTTCTTTTCCTTAATTGCTCAGCTGCTTGCCTTCTGAGGTCGGACAGCCTTCAGGGGCCCTGAAATGTTGATAGATGGCCTTCTGCTAATCATGTCAAATGCTATTGAGAGGTTGAGTGAGTTGAGCACTGAGAATTGGCACTTGGATTTAGCCACACTGGGGGCAGGGAGTGGGGAAGGGGTGGGGACATCAACCTGACTGCAGGAGGTTCACAAGAGAATGCAGGAGAGGAGCTGGAGAAAGCAAGGGCAGATACGTCCTTCAAGGTTTAGCTACAAAGTAGAGCAGGAAAGTGGGGGAGAGCTGGGGAAGAGAGAAACTCAGGGAAACCCTTTGAGACGGGAGGAACACAGCTTACCTTGTCCTATGAAAGAATCCCTATTCTCACGTCACCACGTCTAAAGCCCCCTTTCTCAGCTCTGTCACACCCACAGCTGCCCTTGAGCATCTCTCTTCATAATCCCCAAACCTCCCTCCACATTAGCTCTGCATTATTTTTCTCCACCCCTTTCCCCTTCCTCCATCCGTTTCTTCCCTGTGTAGATCAAACTAATATGTTTCCAGCAAACATCAGGTGTCATTAAGTAGAGAAAGAAGGAGTAAAAATGAGCAGGCAAGACAGGGTTTTCTTTATAAGGATGGATTAGGGTGGGCAGTGGGTAAGGGTGTGACTCTGAACACTACAAATCAGTACATTTTCACTTGCCACCCAGGTCTCTTGGAAACTGAGGTTCCAGAAGCAGGAACCTCTGAAGAATGCGTTTTTAATCTTGGCAGAGAGAGCCCGGGACCCCAGTGTTAAAAAGCGTCATATGGCAATGAGAGGCCTGGGAACCATGGCCTGTGAGAGCCCGGACAAGGTAGGACAAGAAGGGAAGGGGGCGCTCAGCCAGCCCTCATGGCCTGGAATCCCCAGGCCTGGGATGTGGTCCTTCATGTGCTAGCTGTATAGATCAGCTATACAGCTATAGCTGTGTAACAGGTCAGCCTGGACCTGGCATTTATTATCTCACAGTTTTCTTGGGTGGGGAGTCCAGGGACCGCATGGCTGGGTCCTCTGCTCAGGATCTCGCTAGGTGCCATCAAGGTGAGGGCCAGACTGCATTCCTTTCTGAAGTTCAGGGTCATCTTCCAAGCTTTTGGGGCTGTTGGAAGAATTCAGTTCCTTCCAGTTGTACGATTAAGTTGTCCCTATTTTCTTGCTGACTGGCCACCCTCAGCTCCTAGGGGCTCCTGGAGGGACCCCTCTCACAACATGACGGCTTAATTCTTTAAGGAGAGCTGGAGAGTGTCTCCCACTCCCATCTGCTAAGGTGGAGTCTTACATAATGTAAAGGAACCATGGTAATGACATCCCATCACCACTGTCATATTTGTTAGGCCAGAAGCAAGTCACCGGCTCCTTCCACACTCAAGGGAAGGAGCTTGTACAAAGGCACACATGACTCATTTGGGGTCATCTTAGGGTCATCACATCTCAGGATGGTCAGCCTTGGGAAGCAGAGCTGTGGGGAAGATCAGCACACAGCTGGACTTCACCTTCTGGTGAATCTAATTCTTGTAATCATTTATGCTTGTTTAGTAAAAGATGTCCCTACCTGTTCCTGCAGCCTCTTCAACTTCAGTGACCATTTCATCTTGTCCCCTGTAAAGGTGCCCAGTAAGCCCCGGGTCCTAGATCATCCAAGTCCACCACCTGCCAGCCTCACCCACCCAGAGGCCGCGGTCCAGACTGCAACGTCTGTTCTCCTTCCAAGAGCGCGTTGGGCTTGTGGGTCAAGTTCACGGAAGCATTTGTGTTTTGATGAGAGTTGTTGTGGCAGTTGCTGAAGAAGGCCATGATCTCTTAGTCTAAGTCCTAGGTTATTGGAAGATTAGAGGTGGAGCTGCTTTTCAACTCATGGGGACCAATCCCTGTGCTACTAATGCTTTTCAAACCTTGCTAACAGGTGAGAAAGTATAAGAAAATTGTCCTGGACTTGCTGGTGCATGGACTGTATGACCCGGTGAGTTCTGAAGTCATCCATGAGAGCGTGAAGACCCTGACCATCATCCTGGGCAAGACACAGGGGAAAGGCTTGGGCTCCTTCTTCATAGACATCACGCTTCAGGCCCGGACTTTGCTGGATGATGTGAGTGAGACAGCTCAGGAGGACTGCGGGGCCTTAAAGTCAAAGTGGGATTAGAAATGGGAGGTCTGCGTGGTGTGTTGCCCAGGAAACAAGGCCTCTGTTATTCACGCATTTATTAAGAAATCTGGTTGAGAGACTCGTGCTTTGCTGGGGGTTAGGGAAGACATAGAAAGAGGTGCAGAGTTACGCCCCCAGCCCTCAAGGAGTTTTCATTGTAATAAAGGAGTATGTGTATATATATATATAATGTGATGCCCACGAGTGTTCAACGCTGCCTTATAAATGGAAGAATAATATTAGTCCCATTTAGGGAGCTCCTACTGTGTCCCAGGCACAGGGCCAGGCAGTTTACATGGATTATCTCATATCACCTTCACAATAACCCTGTGAGATCAGCACTATTATCTTCACTTTATATATGAAGAAACCAAGGCACGGAAAGGTTAGGTCACCTGTCCAAGGGTCGCAGAGTCAGTAAGTGGGTATGAAACTAGGCCCTCTGACTACAGGGCCTGCACTCTTAACTGCCAGGTGGCAGACGGGCTGGGCAAAAAGTGCCCTGATACAGAAAACGTGAGGACTCTGAGACACCTCCCTTTAGGGAACTGGTTATCCTGCCACAGTCACACACAAACACACACATGCACACGCACAGAAAGACAAGACCTGCAGAACAGGGAACAGACCTTGCATTTAGCGGGGGTTCCCCCACACCTAATTCCCCGTAGACTCACTCCCCAAGAGCCAGACGTACCCACACCGCCACATGGGAGGAAGAGAAACCTTGAAATTATGACACTTGGATTTTATATAGGACCTGCCAGTGCATTTGCCTCTCCTCCTTCTCGGAGAGATGGAGGGACCTCTGCTCTGCGATGTAAACCAGTCCTCTCCGGGAGGGGAGAGGAAGGTCTGTACTCCACCGCCCTGGATTATAAATTGATATCTTCAGGGAAATGTCTCTAAATCTCTCTGGAGGTGCTGTCTTCATGTCCGGGGCTTGTTTTCATGCAATCATTTTTTAAACACAGGTCAACTGTAATTTTGGATCAGAAAGCCCTTATCATGTAGAATCCTAGGAATACTCCTGGGGAGCTGGTTCAGCAGTTTCTATCATAGCCCTCATCCCTACCTGCCCTGTGCTGTGCCCCCATCAGATGACTGTCGGCCTCCCAGGGGACAAGCACCCCCTTACACATCTCTGTCCATCTCATAGCATTAGTGTAGTGCTTTGCGTAGAGTCAGGTCTCAACAAATGTTAGTTGAATTGAATTACACACACCCCCACACCCCCCCCACACACGGGTAGAACAGTGAAGAAACTATGACGCTAAAGCAGTTTCTGTATGTCACATGTGCTAAAAAATTAGTTTTAAATACTTCACAAAATGATCAGTGGTCTGTAGTCTTCCTAAGCGTCCGTGGCCAAAATCAGGGAGAACTGACAGGGTGTCAGGGAAGAAACAGAATTGTTACTCCTGCTGCAGGTGGGAGAAACAGTCTAAAATAAAGAGAGATGGCCTGGCAAAAATCCTGGGCGTAATAAACAGGAGATGAGTTGAATGCATTATGATGCAGCCAAAAAAATCCTTTTATGTATTGACCAGGAAAGAGCTCCCAGATAGGCCGTTTGATGAAAAATCAAGGTGCAGGGGGGAGGGTATGGCTTAGTGGTAGAGTGAGTGCTTAGCATGCACGACTCCATTAAAAAATAAGTAAATAAAAATAAATAAATAAATCTATAATTACCGCCCCTCCAAACAAACAAAAATTCAAGGTGTATAACCGTGGGATGGTCCACTTCCATTTTTGTAAAAATGTGGAAAAGAGCTATTTATATATATATATATTTTTTTTTTTCTTCTTAATTTTCTGGAGGGATACACACAAAATTTAAGACCTTGTGGGGCAGGAAATGTGGCTGCTGGTAGAGAGAGGTGGGAAGGAGACTTACTGTTTTTTATAAATCTTTTTGGTTATTTTGAATTTTGAACCATATAGATGTATTCTGTCTCCAAAACATTAATAATGAATAAAAAAGCTGAGAGTAGCACTAGTGATCTCTCAGTCTGATTAATCCTCTCCTCTGCTGGTGGAGAGATTCACTGAAGACTCCACTCCATCCCCCACCCCACCCCAAAGCACTTAGCTGGGACCTAATGGCCCACCTGTAACACGTGGCAAAGAACCATGTCTGCAATGTTCTCTGACGCGGTTACCTCTCGGTAATGACCCGGGTTTTGTTGTTCTGTTCACGGGGGACCCACAGGAGAATGACAGCCTGAGATACTCGGCTTTTGTCTTGTTTGGGCAATTGGCTGCCTTTGCTGGACAGAAATGGAAGAGCTTTTTCACCGGTCAGGTGAAGCAGACTCAAGACTCCCTCCTGACCCATTTACAGGATAGGAATCCCCAGGTTGCCAAGGTAAGTCCGTGGCTCTCCAACCAACCACGTGAACCCGCTGTGCCAGGGAATTGGGATGCAGCCCTGCAGAGTTAAGATGCCAGGCCCTCAGTTCCTGCCAGTTCAGTCATGGACACTTAGCAGTGCATCCGTATGAATCCTGGAAAGAGTGCCTCCTGGGTGGGTGATCTCGCCCTCTGAACAGGAGTGTTATTTTCCATTCACTCCTGCCCCACCTGCCCAGTCACAGCGCCCCTCAATGCTGGATGAATTCAGATTGACGGGGGTGGAGGGGTGAGGCGGGGGAGGTGTGCTGGTTCATTCCCAGGGGCAGCAGCTCCTAGAAGGGGCTATTCACACCCAGTTAGCTTTTGTCACTGTGCCTAGTGCAGATTTCCCACCCTTGGCTTCTTAGTTCCCCATGGAGCTTTTGTTTTATTCTCAGAGAAAATGTGTCCTAACAGGGTTGGATCAACCTCAGGGCTGCTTTGGAGCAGGTGAGAGTTCCAAAACCATCAGGAGCAAAGGATTCCACCAAATCACCTGTTTTTTTTGTTTGTTAAGTTAGTGCACGAGGGAGGGAGGGAGGGGAGAGAGAGAAATTGAGACTGAGATTGGGAATTCAGAAGCCAGTACTACTTTGGATGAGCTGATGACAAGGGCTGTGGTAAGCTATAATGCTTTGTCCTCCCCACCAGCAGCAAGTTATAGACATAGTCATTTTACAAGCGTAAATTCTTTAAGGTTCAAGTTTTCAGACTTCCTGGAAGTTACTTTCACACTCTCTGCGGCTCCCAGACCACAGACAGGGAGCAACGCTTTTCCTTGCTTGGGATTATACACTTCTCTAATATTGTTGACAACGAGATGGTAATCTTTCTCTCAGGCTTGCAAAACGACTTTTCGAGCCTGTTCTCCGTATCTGAGACAGAGGAAGGAATACGGCTTCCAGAGTGAAGAGGATCAAAGGAACCCTAAACTCTGCCGGCAGCTGGTGAGTGAGCGAGGGCAGGAGAGATTCTCCCAGGATCCCTGTCCTCGCGTGTTAATGCAGAAGGTGATCAGGCAAACTCCCAGGGAGTTTTCCCCATAAAAAGACTCAGGCCAATTGTGTTTCAACTGTAATTGACCCATAATACGATGTAAATGACAAAACGCCCCGGAGGACTGTGCACGAAATGTATTGGCAGTTTCAGTTCAGATCTTTAGATGAATGCAGGTAATGGTGCCTCCACCTCTGAGAACCTGAAGATTGTTTATCCTCATGCTCTGCATTTGACCACCGTCTACTCATTCTATAGTCGGGGAGGTTTACTGAATTGCTCCCTCACCTGTACCTTTGGCAATTTCTTTCAGAGCCACTATCATCCAGAGCTCCTGCAGTTTTTCTATGCAAATAAAATTCTGTGAACAGAGAGCAGCAGAGAAATGGATCCTAGAGCACATTCTCCCTCTTTTAACTGGATGTTTCTGCTTGCCTCTTGTGATTGTGATAGAAAAGGGAATGTCTGGCAAAAATAATACCGTGGAATTGTGTAATTATATCTAAAGGAGATTCTAAGTAGCATGTATATGTCTCATTTTTCTCCCCATACAAATTTGATGAGAATTTGCATATTTTTCTTTAAAACATTTAAAGTATGTATAGATTCATTGCTGATTCCTCTGCTTTTTCCGTCTTAAGTTCATCTCTGTCATCTATTTTTATTTTTAATTTTATTTTTAATTTCAAAGGCTTAGGAGAAAAACTATGACCTGAAGTTTAAAAATTTTTTTTTGCTATTGATACTTTGTCATTTGCTTATTAATACCTTTTCTTGGCAAGACCTATTTAAAGTTGGCCAAGGTACCAAGAAATCAGATGAGAGGGGTATCTTTAGCGTCTCATAATCTTCAACAGTCACTGCCTCCAAGATCATTCCAAACAAGAGTTAATAAAGAGAAAAAAATTGATGAAGCATGTGTTGAAAAACCTCAAGCTTATGGTAATGTATGGACTAATCATAATGAATAACATATAGTGAGAATGTTTATAATGTGTTGGGTACTCTGCTAAGCATTTTGCAAGTATTACTTAATACTTTCAACAATGCTGTCAGCAAAGTGCTATTAACTATCTTCATTTTATAGATGAGAAAACTAAAGTACAGGGAAATTAAGTAACTTGAACAAGCTGACCCAGTAATTGATGGAGCCAGAAATCAAACCCTGACTTCTGGATCCTACAGTCAATGACCGTGCAGTACTGATTCATTATGGAATAATTGATTGATGGTTAGAAATGTAAAAAAATAAAACAAATTAAAAAACTCGCAGCTTCTGCTCTTCTGTTTAACTCAGTTAACCTTCACTTTTGTATGTGTTAAGTATACATTTCTATTTAATTTGTGAGCTATGTATATATTTTTTATTAATCACCTGTTGACTACTATGTCAGTTTTTTGGTGATCAATCCTAGTTTTATGACGGCTCGCTTTACTCTTATAAAAAGATTCCCCCACTACCCTCCCTCCAACCAGATTGCTTCCCAAGCTTCTCCTGTAGAAATTCTAATACTGTTATGGAAACGACAGGCCAGCCAAGAAACAAGCACCACTTGGAGGGTTGGAGTACTCAGATGTATTACGCCGGCAGGCTCAGAGGGGCTTTTGCTCCGAAGCTCTAAGCACCTCCAAGACGTGTGCATGAGGTTTTATAGGGTTAATTACAAGCTTGGGGTATTCGGCCAATAGGCATGGAACAGCTTTAGCAGCATCACTATCACAGAAGTAGAGGCAGGGAGGCAGCAAACCAACATTTCAAGGCCAGATATGTCTCTTTGAAAATCCGGCTGGCTAGTTAAAAAAACATGAACAGGGAATCAGCAAACCGACACTGATTAACTTAGATTTACGGATCAGCCCAGCAGAACTCAGATCAATAATCCGACACTTGTTACACTTAGATTTGTGAGTTAGCTTGTTAGCCCAGCCCGGCTTTTCCTTCACAGTACTACCACTGAACTTGGCATTTGGGCCATACCTGGACAGACTGTGTTCAGTATTAGAAATGGAAAATGCAAGAGGGTCATAAATGCTAAGAGGGATCTTAATGTCAGTCTGAGAACCAGGAACTGTTTTCTGCCCTGGCTCTCCAGAGACAGACAGGACCACGTAAGATAAATGAGGGGGTGAGGTGTGTCCCAGGACAGACAAGGATGTGGGAGGTGGCAGAAGGGACACTGGAGCCAGGCGGGAGTGGGGTTTCCTTCTTCCTATTTTGAAGCCTGGGGACTTGACAACAGAGGCTTCTGGGGGGGACCCAAGCTTAGGAGCCCGTGGGAAAGCTCTGAGCTGAGAGCCCTCTTCCTTCTCAGATGTTGGTCTGTTTGAAACTACGTTGCAAGGTTGGTTTAGAATAGGATGCAGTCTATTAAGGGATCAGTGAGTGGGGAGAGAAATGACTGCAGTTAGCTAGCATTCAAACAGGCGGGGCTGGCGTGGGGCAGGCGGGTCACATGCTCTACAGGACAAACCTCTGTGCACTTAATGGCCCTTGGTTGATTACAGTTGTGGAGGACGCTTTGAATTATGTGACTTTAGGATTCGTGGTAGACTGCTACTTTGGTGGCCCCCAATGTATCATGCCTCCTGACAGTCATGCCCTTGTGTAAACCCTCCCCTCGAATCTGGGCTGGCTTTGTGACTCGCTTTCACCATTGGCACGTTCTGGAAGTGCCACTGTGCCAGTTCTTGGCTATGCTTTAAGAGCCTGAAATCTTCCTCTTTTGTGCGCTGAGTGAAGCCAGCAGCCCTGTAAGACACCAGACTACCAGGACAGAAGAATGACTGGTCTCCGTTTGGGAAGGAAGCCCAAGCCAACCACATGGAGAGCCTGAGGAACCCAGCTGTATGGTCGGGCCGCTCAGGATGGCTCTTCTCTGGCTCTCTGTGCATCCCTGCTCCACCAGGCGCTGCCTCACTCACATGGCTCTCCAAGCCTCTTGATTATAGGGCTTAATTAGCCCCTGGTAACTCATGAGCCCACCTGGTGTCAGCTCCCCCTATAAACGGTAGCCTCCTTCCCCGCCCCCAGAGTCACGAGGACTGCTGGCATGTCCTGCCTATAGTCCGCCGCACACGGTGGGATGTAAGGTCACTCGTCCAATAAACCATCCATGTCTCTGGGCCCCAAGGCTGGGCAACCACAAGACTTGCAGGCCTGCAGGGGGCAGCGTGACACCGACCCAAGGTGAAGTCTGAGGCCCAGACGTAACACACGTGGGCCATTCCCGCCAGGGGCCAGTGGTTCAAGCCACCCCAGCAGATACCACGGGGAAAAGAGACTAGCTGTCTCCATGGGGCCCATCCCAAACTGCAGGATTGTGAGTAATCAAGTGAGTGTTGTTTTCAGTCACTGATTTTTGGTACAGACAGTCACTCGGCAATAAGTAACCAAAAAAAAAAAAAATCCTTGTCTCTAGTGTCGTCTTTTGGCCAGTTTTGTTTTGCTCTCAATAAGTCCTCTGAGTTTAAGCTATACTTCCAGAAAGTTACGTTGTCATGGGATTCCGTGGTGACAGCAAACCTTGTTTCCCTGTTTGTGTCTCACCGTATCCGTCACAGCACAGAGCACGTAGCAGACGACAAGGAAACGTGCTGAAGACGGGCAATTCCAGATGGACGTGGGAACAGAGTCCAAGCTCCAGTCTGCTGTTCTGGGCTGCTGGCTCTGGGCTCCCACTCTTTCTTTCCAGCTTTCTCTTCTGTTACTCACTTTGATTCAGTCAAGTTTGGCTCCTCTCTTGCCTAAACCCTGCTTGGTCTCTTACGCTCCCTGCCTTGGCGCTTGTCTGTTCTTCCTGCTTCGAATCTCCCCCCACCCCGGGCATACGCGCACAGTGTGTCTCACATGTATCTCCTGGCTGTACTCCAAGACCTGGGTCAAATGCCCCATCCCCTCAGTCAGGAAGGACTCCCATCTCTGAACCCCCAGAACACCCTAGCAATCTTCTGTCACTTCACACGCTTTAGCTCATTTGAAATTTTTTTTACCTACAGGTCTTTTCTCCCTCTGTTAGATCAAAGCTGCGAAGTATCACATCCCATCTTGTATATTTTTGTATCTCCCACGTGACCTCAAAGGTACTCAGTAGGTGCTTAAAAAATGAATGTTGGTTGGGGGGAAAATGTCAGAAAGTCATCTGAAGCTATTACCCCTTGGAGGAGCCCGTTTTGATAAATAAGAGTGATTATTTCTCTCCTTATAACTGATCTTCATGTATTTAAAGTTTCTTAACATATTGAAAGTTTCTTGTCCCCACTGAGATGCCCGTTAATTTGAATGCCAACCTAAAGGTAATGTTCTGACATTTCTGACATTTTTAAACACTAGCTATAGAACAGTTAAATGAATGAAAGAGAAAGAAAAGTTCAGGTGCTCCCATGCTAAGGGGTCGAGGCAGGGCTGTGCATGAAACTTGGTCCCTGCTTTCAGGCCTCAGATGAGATGGGTCTTTCTTAAAGGAAGAGGAGAAAGGAGAGAAAAAGGCACAGAAGGACACTGAGGATCTAACAGGTGTGATCAGTAGTAGTAACCAGTGTGAACAGAATCCTGGGGCGTAATCGAGGGAATGTTTCAAACTTTGTATAAACACTAGCGTGTGTTTTGTAAAGAGGGAGCCGGCAGCTGTGTAGGGTGGCTGGCAGTTTGTGTAGTAAATAAGGCAGACACATATTTGTGCTTTTTTTTTTGCGTTTTCCAAGTTTTCTGCAATAAGCATGAATTACTTTTAAAATCATAAAACATATGCAAGAATGCTCTTTTAAAATAAAAATTAAGTGCCTGTCGGTGGTTAAACTGGTAGGCTTTGGAAAGCCTGGGGTGGTTATTGTTCACTCTCAGTAGTGCTGAAGGAGAATTAATAAAATGGCCACACTTAGGCTACCAAATTTTTGGCTTTATGCTTACTGCTTGCTTTTAGAACAATCAGCAAACCTGACGGACCAGGCACTGCTCCCAGCCCCAGGCCTGCTGTTAAAGCTAAAGTTGTTGGCATACTTACCGTTTGATTTGACCTTACTCTGATCATTACAATCATGTTTGGCGTCTGAGTCATTCCCCGGGAAGGGAGTCACGGGACAATAACCTCAGGAGAA